TACAGCTGTCAATGTCAATGGCAATAAATTCTGAGCCACCCAATATTGACAAGTACCTTCAGTCACACAGAAACAACAAAGCATCACCAGTTGGCCCAGGTTTCCTCACCTCACACACCACTGTTTGCTATTCACCCAGCTTCCATTACACCTAGACAAAGCAAAAGCAGTTTAGTGGCTGCAGGTAGGCAATAGTAACTTCCCTCAAAATCTCTTGGGTCATACAGTGTCTGTATTGAGGCCATCACATGTTGTTTCTTCATCTGTGATGTTGAGGTTTTCTTTGGGGTGCGGGGTGTGCAAAGAGGGAGAGGGAACAGCATTTAAGAAAAAATTGTATTTTTTCCTTATCCTCTAGCTGTCAGTCAGAAACTCCCAGGCAACAAATTGTGCATCCAAGACACTCAATTTTAAATGAAGAGGTAATTACTGGGTTTATTTTTAAAGGATGGGGAGGGGGGAGAGGGAGGAGAAACCAAAAAGAAACCCATGGGTATTCCAACTTTCAGTAATTAAATATTGAACCATAGTATGATTTAATGCATCCTATTCCTGTTCCAGCCTGGTCACGTGTTCCTGAAGAGATTTATATGAAAACTGGTACATAATCATCAGCAATTTGTCTTCATCTGTCAAAACCCATACAAGTCTCATCCACAACAAGAGCAATCTCTCTGTAATTCTTTCTGGATGTGCAGCTGACAATTGTCACGTTTTGAAGCTTTAAACGGCATAAAAGCTTCACTTGATACTCTATCTAATGGGTTCACATGCTCCTGCAGTCACATTAATACTGCTAATTATTGTTGTCAATACAGAGCAAGTAAATGAATGGTGGGATTCATCTGAATTTCTGAGCGAGGCTAACATTTCATAGCAGTGTCTTAAAGCTTCAATACATCCCATGAAGTTTTATCAGACTTGTGCCATACAGCATAATGGAAATAAATGCCAGAGGCATTAAAAATATAGTCCCATACTGTTCTTTGAAAAACTAGCTCTATGATCACATTATAGCATTGAATGTAACTTTGTAATTCAAATATTTTTAGTTTCTGTCTGTGTGCATGAGTGCATTGATAAGATAGTGAAATATAAAAATGAGATTAACTGAACAGCTTTCCTGTATGTGCAGCTATGCAAGTTGAAAAGATCAAAATCAGCAGCAGGGCTAAAGCAGCCAAAAAAGAAATCACAGTTTATGAAGGTCTTATGGGAAGATTATTGTATTACCTCCAGTACAGAAGAGGTACAGATCTGCTTTAAACTGATTCCAAATCCATTTGAACTTCAGAATACTTTGGAATGATCGGTTTTGCCCCATTTTACTGTAAGAGCTCATCTTTAAAACACATATCTTAAATAATAGGGTTTCAGAGAGGCAGAAAATACCAACTAGTCCACCGTTATTTCCCTGGGCTGAATCAGCCTTTCCCAATTCAATTTTCATGAGAGCCACCTGCCACGGAAAATACTCAATCATGTGAGTTGGGCAGCATCCTCCATCAAGTCCCCGTGCCATAGCATGCCCTGCCTGTGACTGATAGCTGTGGATCATGGGCATATCAAAGCATGTTATCCTACCTAAGATGTTATGCTGTGGTAGGATAGACTCAGTGGGACCTGGATATTCAGAGGAGGTGGTAGCGATCAAAGATACAGCTGATGACTTAAACCAAGCTTAAGGAAAGTTTAACAAGTCAGACCACTTTTAAAGAAACCAAGTAAAACTCACAACACACCAAGATCTTAAATCAAAGTGTACATGTTAACCAGTATTTTCTGCCAAATTCAATGGAGTTCAATTACTAGCTTTCATCCAATTAGCTTTTTCTTTTATCTCTCATTTTTCCTCACTCTAGTCCCTAAATCCTGCAACAGATATCTATTAAGTGGTTAATGGCTGACATGCTTTCAGCTAGAGGTAGCTGTGTCAGGTACGTGTTACTGATCCTCATTCAGATTTCACCTACCAGCTCACCTTAAGAACATTTCAGGTTTAAAGTTCATTTGCATTAAGTTTATTTATGCACGGTTGTCTGCTGAATGCATTACTGCAGTAGAAAAACAAGTGATCAAAAAAGAAGAATGATTTTTTCCTCTCTTCTCAAGAAACACTGCAGTCTGCTAAAACCATTCTGCTGAAGTACTTCTAATCCTGAGAGGTTCACAAATAACAGGTTTTATTCTCTACACTCACAAGTGGCAAGGTGGTTAGTTTTCAGATTTCATCTCTCCAGCAAGGTCATTTTCCCCAGTGATTCAGCACTTTGGCATTTCATTTTCTCTTTAAAAAGGGAGAAACAAAGTCTAGTAGGAGCACACACAGAGAAATTTTGGAGACAAGATACAGAAGAAAAGGGTCGGATGCTTTCCATTGTGCCCAGGAAATTATTATACTGACCAGTTGCTTTATTTAGACATAGTGCAGACAGCTTGCTCTTTGTCCATTAGAACTGTCTTGCTCTTAATTACATTGACTTCTGAAAGCTTTGATTAATTACAATACAGAGCAAAGGTTTTGAGTGGAGAAATGATGATGTCAAAAAACAGCTACTGATCCTGACCAATTTAGGTTAATGCTCACAGCATTTTATGTCCCATAATAAAATAGAGACAGCTGTCACTAGGAGGACTGTAGATGCTATGGAATATTTATACTGATCAAAGAGGTTCATGATGGCAGCAGAGTAGCAATACATTTATTTATTTTAATTGAAACTGAATGAAAAGTAAGAGGCAAATAACAGATTTTCGGTTCAGTCATTGAAATGAAAAGAAATTGAATACATATGTTTAATTGAGAGATGAAGTTTTCCTCCCCCCACCCAGGTTTGGAAAATTCATTCTCCATGTGGGGATTACTTTGGTTCCTGTAAAGGTTTGAGAGCCTACGTAAACTGCAGGCAGTCAGATGCTTTGCATCTCTCCACCTCATTTCCATCAAAGCCCTCAGTGGCTTTCAGAAGTTGGTGTTAGTACTTTCTGATATCTATGGCACTATTATAAAAAATTATATGCTTTCCTGAGTTGCATAAGAAAAAGATTTGCATTCAATTCCCTAAATAGCCATAGAAGGTTTACATGTCCTTGAAAGCATCACTTAAAGTAGGGTTCATTGAAACCTAACTGATAGTCAAGCTTTTCAATGGTTTTGGGAAGCCAACAGAAGAAAATTGAATTGCCCTCTGCAAGGGTTGCTGTCTCTCCAGGAACTATAGATGGAAGCTAGATGACAAGGTTAGACTGCATGCATAAAGTTGCAGGACCTGTGTCTCTCTGCCTCATTTTCTACACCTTTAACTTGGTAAACGCAGCAATTCCCAGGGCTGCTATATGAGGCCATATTCATTAACATTTCAAGTCCTCCTACTAATGACAAGTATAGGTGAAAGATTTAAGAGTGACACTCCTGCTTCTTGACTGATTTTTGCAGTGCTGATATTTGTGGCTTCTTAAATCACTGTTGCAACCATTCCCATCTTTTCTGTGCATAGAGGGATTTTTCAGCCCCCTGAATAGTTTCTGGTAATCTTTTTCTCTTTTACCTATGTATCCTACTCTTTTGAAATCACTGCAGTGCTTAAGTTCCATTTAAATACCCCCTAGAAATATACTCAGATATTTTTTCCCTGTTAATCAGATACTGGTATTTTTTATTGTGCATAGTTTTAGCATTAAGAGTTGAGTTGCAAACTGTAACCTGCAGTAGTAGTTTCCAGACTGAAATGCAAGTCTATTTGAATTAGCTTTATATGACATTTTTCTTTGTCACTATATTGTTACCCCATCAACCTGCAGACAAAATCTTAGTGGGAATAGACTGTAGTACTGTTAACTCAGGCTTCTAAATCTCTCTGCTTGAATTTCAAGCTCTGATTAAATCTGAACTACTCCCCAACTTTTAAACTCCTTGTGGGAAGCAGGTCAACTCGGGAAGAAAACAGCATCTCCGGAGAGCATACATCAGCAGTTTTGGGGGTCAGGCAATATAACACAAGAGACACAGAGAAAATTCAGGAGTCAGTTCATGATGTATTGCTTTCCTTGCTGTCTTTGAAATGGGGCTCTTTCATGAGCAATACAGTGATGTATTGATGCTGCATCTTCCTCATCCACCCCACCAGCTCCTCTCTCCAGATCTGCTATTACTCTTGATACAAAAAGGATCCTGCACTATTTCTAAAACAGTCTCTGGCCACTGGGTTATCCTTTCTGAGTTTACTTTAGGGAAAGTTCACCACTAAGAGTTTACTGGATTTTAGGACCAAGCAGTTACAGGACACTGGAAAAATGAAGCATAAGTGGTATCTTGATGGGAACCACATCTTGAAGACCTTGTAAGCAGTTACCTTCAGAGGAGGCATCCAAACTTCATATTTCCCACCTGTACTGGGTCAACAAACATTAAAGGGACAAAATTAACACATAACCTTATCTGTTCTTCAAAGGCTGCACCTCAGAAACGAGTTACAGAGTAGAGGGCTCATAGCAGTGTCAGTGTACATAATCAAACCAAGCAGCACTAAGAAGAAAATAACCTCCAATAACCACCACATGAAAAATTATATTCCCTACTTCATCATAGTCACATCACTTTCCAATCTTACATTTAGCATTAAACAGAACACCTGATGTTACATATACTGTCTGCATACAGAAACACCTGTGCAGAGAAGCAACCACAGGGGAACACATACAGCCAGTGAGTCAGCAGAAGTAACTAAAATGCATGCAAGGACATCTAAGCAAAAGCAGAACTCAAACTTCTCTGCAATTAGACCTTCCCCTCACTGCACAGGATTTTACATCTGACAATAAAGCTGCGAACATCTTCTGAAAACTGAGGTCCAGCCCCTCATGCACAGTCTTAGTTATAGCAACAAATTTTGCAGTTTAATTATAACCATCAAATACCATTACAGCAAGCAGTTCAATGAAAACCAAAGCAATTAAAGCTTAATTATTTATGCCTTTAACAATTGAATAACAGAACTTACCTCTCTTCTGTCTTTCCTTGCACAGACCTTTCTCAGCATAACACCCACCAACTTGCCTTCTCTTCCCCCTTCCTTTTACTAGGGGACAGAATGGGCTATTTAGAGGCCTGCCCGTGCTGATTGCTTGAGTAGCTATTTTCTCCTGGCTACCACGTGGGTGTTACATGCTGCAGTTATGTGCAATAGCTTGCACCTGTTGTAACAAACAAGCCAACTTTCCATCCTTTTGGTAAATTTGTACAATCTCTTCTGCCTTCTCTCCGTAGGGTAATAGGTTCATAACAGAGAACAACACTGAAAGCACCAAAGGATGCCAAGTCCTCAGGAGTACCGAGTCAGAAATTCTCCAACGACTGTGGAAGGGGCAGAAAATGAGTTTTTCCTGGTGGCAATGATCTTTAAATTACTGTCTTAATTAAACATTTCCCAACCTGAATCCAGTAGCTCATAAGCAGAGATGGGAGTATGTATTTCGCAAAGAGCTGTGCTGCAGCTGTAGCAGAAGAGTAGCCTCTCAGTTTCCTGTGTTGCGGGTAACTTCGTTTCCTATCTCCTCCTAATAGTTAGAGTTAAATTTGTTTCCATCTGTGCCCCGAAGAGGCAACTGTCCTCACTCATCCTTAACCCACTTCATTTCTAGAGTGAAGCAAACCTATCTGTAGCACTTTAGAAATCCTTTTCCTTTCCTGTGAACTTTCTGCAGTGACTTTGTGTCCTTATCTCATCTGTCTTGAGCCTCTTCTCGCTAACATCTATGACAGTTCTTTAAAAAACTTATTATATCCCCATCAATACCTACCTTCAGTGTCACACTTTGTAGCCACTGTAACAAAGACAGCACAAATGATGAGGCTCCGGAGAACAAATTCAGACAAAATGTTACTTGTGGTTTATTAGAAGAAGGACATAAATAAACCAGAAATAAAAGAGAGCCAGCTAGGCTAAGATTGTCGAGAACTACCCTGAAACTGCTTTTCACCAAGTCCTGCTTAAAAACAGTGAGATTCAAGCATTTGGTAACACAGATTTTATTTTATAGACTTTTTATACTTAATCATCAAGTTTAGCACAGGGAACATCTTTTCGCTTTGGGTTTACACAGGACTTAGCACAGTGAAGTCTGGAATCGCTCTCCCTCTGTGCTACAAATGATGATTACAGTGTCTCTTCCCTCAGAGTAATTTATTTATATTTTTCTTAATGATCATTAGTGAAACATTATTGAGTTCATAAAAAAAAGGAATAAAAGAAAAATTATGTTCCACTAACAAAGACACAGGAAGAGGTTCATGTTTTTCTGTTTTGTATCTCACATCCCCACTGGAATTTACCAGAAGAAAGTCTGACATAATTTCTCATGAAAATTTATTTACAACCTACATACTAATATACATATCCATGCCATGTAATCTGAGAAAAGAAGAACAATAAGAATATCATAAACAGGACTGCAGCAGTAGGAGTAAAGCCTCGAACACAATACTCTCAACTCCTGGGTTACACTGGGTCTTAGAACTAAAGATTTTCAAGTGCCAATGAAATTTCATTGCTAAAAATCATTCTTTTCAATTGCCAGGGAAGAATTTGATGATTCTTTTGCAAAAGTTTCTTCCTTGTGTTGTTTTCAGCTACTTACAGATCTTTTAGATAGCTCTCAAATTTCAGACAGAAGAGGGGAGGGTAAAGAAACATTTTAAAACTAGGTGTGAATTTCTCCTTATTCCTTGGTCAGCTCTGTCAAATATCTTTTGAGATATTACATTATCTCAAAAGAAGAAAAGAAAACAAGGAGAAAACCACCTTGTTAATTCTCCTGAAATATATCAAATTCAGAAAGGCTGAAAGCATCCAACAGGGAAAGAGCATAGGAAAGAATTTTATAGTATTTGTAAAATGCTTAATTCCTAAATCTGTGAATTTCTTTTTATTTTTAGCTTGCATCACTGCGGAAGAGGTTATAGTTTGCACAATTCTTTTAAAGTAATTCATGTCATGACCAGTGTCTTGACTTGTGCCATCTTTGAACTCATGCAACATAAAGAATGACAGCTTAGAATCTCAATTCCTATTTTACCAGTCATATTGTACACTTTGCTTTGATCTCAACCAAATTTAGCTGACCTTTCCAACAAAACCAGGACAGAATACATCCAACTGCATGAAAAGTTCAGTCTTCTCAACCTACTTAAGGAAGAGAAAAGGAAACACTTGAAGGACTATTTGGATAAATAACAACACCAAAGACTAAAGAGAAATTACTGGGCTGTAGCCAGTCTTTTTCCTAGTAACAACTTCTCTTCAGCTAAATCAATTAAGTTAGTAGTAGTGGTAGTAGTTGTTGTAATAATAATATTCAAGGAAGTATATTCTCACTAGTGAATTTCTTTCATGGTATTATATTTTATCCACAGACTACCCACTTATGTTTGTTTCTGTAATCAATCTTTTCTCAAAAATTTTCTCCATGTTTTCCACTCTATCAGTGCAAACTTATTTCAGAAATTACCCTTAGCTTTTCCATCTCTCTTTTCTATATGCTGAAGCGGATTTACTCTCCTGTTTTGTGGTCACTTTCTTGTCTCCTGGGACTCTTCATAAAATTTTCTTCAAAGATGCATGATAAAAAGAACTCAAAGCTTTAGTGCCTGTTTCCCACAAAACAAAATAATGCATTTACTCTGTTTTTTTGCTTAATCTTGCAGGTCTTTATCATGAGTCATCCTGAAAACACAACTGGGAAGTCACACAGCCTGACTTTATCTCTCCCTGGATAGCCTACTGCAGATGTGAGGTTAGACCAAACAATGCAAGTTTGCTCACAAACTGTATCACCATCACCAGGTTTAATTCCATAAGCCATACCCATTAGTCATCCATGGGAAGTCCCATTTCACTTTTAGACCATGATCTCAAAAAAACTTCACAGTATTGAGAGATTTCGTGTCAGTATTCACATTCCCCTGTAAATTACCAGCTGTGGAGAGAAATGTGAGACCTTGACATTGATTCTTCTCTCCTTTCAATTGTCAGATATTGGTTTAACTTGGTGAAATTGCATTAGTGGAAAACCAGATAGTGGTCCTAACTCAATAAGGGACATTATTTGTTTGCTTTTTATCTGCTGCCAGCCCCATTGCAGTTAACCAGTCTTGAGTATATTCCAGAATAGCAATGCCATTTGAGTAAGGATTGGAATATAAAGCTATTTAGCCTGAATAGTTTCCCTCTAACCTAATACACAACTAGACATTTATAATTTAGGAACCTACAATTTAGGGCAGAGAGAGAGAAGGAAAGAAAGAGTTGACATTAATAACTTCATTGATGTGCCTGTTGTAGAGAGCTTTCTTAGGAATGGAGAGCTGTTACATAAAATGGCCAAATTACCAGTCACTGTCAAAGAGGAAGCGTTTAGAAAGTAGATTCCTAATTAGGAACATCACTTAAAAATTCATAATTAAGCAAACTGCATTTGAACTGTTGATCATATACTTACTGCTGAAAGAACATATTAGGCTTTAAAAGACTCCTGGACTCTAAAGCAAAGCAAATAATAAGAAGAAATGTTAGGGGTTGCCAAATCTGTTATCTATATACCCTATAATACACATGTAAACACACCTGGCCATGCAGATTAAAGTCTCATGAAAACACAGATGACATAAAACAGCCTGATGCTATTATCCCCCTCTGGCTGATCAGGATGATGATCCATTAGTGGAAAATAATCACATATGTGATGCAGATCTCCTCAGTATCAGGGCTTAAACAGTCTATTCAGGACCTGGCCCCTTGATTCTTCACCTCCCCTTGCCTCATAAACATACACACACATATGCAAATAGGTTTCTCAGTTGACCCCTGGGCCCCACAGTTCCTCCTGTATTCGGCTTTGATCTTTATGATCCCTCTGTCAACTTGCAGACCCTCTGGTCTCTCTAGTGTCTGGTACAGACCTAGGTTTTACTTGATATCTGGCTCGCAAGCCTTTTATTCTACTTGAAGGGTAGTCCAGCTAGATGTTCACTAGCAATTACACGGTGACTTGTGCACCCACACTATCTATATGCATTCATTCTGATACCTATGGTTGCGGGCACTGCAGATATATGGAACACTCTGACCCATGGTCTGACTCTGGCTACTGCCACTCAGACCCCCATACACACACATGCAGAATAGACACCCTCTTATCTAGTAAAGTATTTAGAAATGGAGTTTGATGAGAAGACAGACCAGACTGCACTGCTCATGTATGTGCTGGGCATAGCCAGACAGGTACTCTATCCAGCAATCCCCTTACAGCTCCTTTTATCCCCGTATTACATGCTTGCTTATCCCACAACCACTTTGAACCCTTCCTTTCCCTGTCTTCACTTCTTCCCCTAAGCACCCCATAATAAGTCTTGTTCAAACTCAAATGTTCTCATGAAGTGTACCATATTGCCTGGGAAGTAACCCTTGTGGGTCTGTAAGGTGATCTGGAAAGCCTCTCATGTTGACTTGTCATGATGGGTGTCATCCTGGCCAATGGGGCTGACAGCTTTTCTGGGACATCTTAGTCCTGGAAAATGGGACAGTGATCCAAAACAAGTTAACTCAATCTTACTGCTGTAGCCAAAGAGTGCTGTGTCATGCAGACAAAACCATGCAGGTCTCAAAAGTCTTCTTGTCTTAAAACAGAGCTCTAAGCATTGGAAAAACACAATCACCTGGTCCTGCTATTCTGATATTTTTTTTCCCCCAAGATTCCCTAAAGAGTTTGTCCTGGGTTCAGCAGTAGCAGTCATGTTTCTCCTTTGTGGTAGCTGGTGCAGTGCTGTGTTTTGACTTCCAGCCTGGGAACAGTGCTGGTGATACCGATGTTTTCGGTTGTTGCTAAGTGATGTTTACCCTGACCAAGGACTTTGTGAGGCTCATGCTCTGCCAGGGAGGAGGGGAAGCCGGGAGGAAGCAGAGACAGGGCCCCTGACCCAGGCTAGCCAAGGAGGTATTCCATACCGCAGCACATCATGCCCGGGGTGAGGGGTAACTGGGAGTTACCCGGAAGGACACGGGCTTCCGGGTGGGACTCGTTTCTTGGCCGGTGGTATCGTATTCTCTTCCCTTGCTATTTTCTCTTATCATTGTTGTTGTTGGTAGTAGCGGTGGTGATTTGTGTTGTACATTGGTTGCTGGACTGTTCTTGTCTCAACCCGTGG